CTGTTGATTTGTTTCTCACTTTCAGTTGCGGTAATACACCACTTCACTGCGCTGGTCAAATAAATGAAACTTTTGCCACCTTATGTCAGCCACCATGTGCACCAGGGTTATGTTGTTCAAGATGGGGATTGTGAGTGATTTGCGGATTGTGACTTCATGCCTGTTTACCAATAACAAAGTAAACTATTGATTTGTTTCTTACTTTCAGTTGTGGTAACACACCACTACATTGTATGGGTGGTGTAACTTCTCCACCAATTGATTATGGTCGATGTCCACCACCATGTCCGCCTGGTCTCTGCTGTTCAAAATTGGGATAGTAAGCATTATTCGAATTGAAGATTTGATTCATTCTTATTGAATAATAAAATTGGATTTTTATTCTTTCTTTCTTTCGGGCATTAAGTTGTGGCAGTACACCAGCACATTGTGATAATCAAACTGAAAGTGGTAATGAAACTGAAAGTAGTAATAACAGTACTTCAATTACTCGAGAACGATTCGATTGTATTTATGATCAGTTAGATCCAGCTACTCGTGATAAACGTTGGCAAGGTTAGTATACTTAGGTAATTCTAAAATTCTGTCATAGAAATATTAAGAGTCAGACACAGTTTTATCTAAATCATTGGGATAATAAGTTTTCTCATCATTAGTTTCTTGTTTTTTAATGTCCACGGAACACATCCTGCACAATTCATAATTTTCAGAGTATACACAACCTCCATCGTTTGCCGACTGAAATCTGCTAAATATTTTTGTTTATAGTCAATACAATAAATGGAAGTTCCCTCTATCGTTGAGAACACATTAAAACGTTAAAATACTTCTTTCCTTAGCAAAAAAGATTAATTTTCTAGAATTTCAAAGTCACGAATAAATAGCCTTGTATTATTCAAGTACGCTCTTTATTTTTTCAAAATAGAGCATTTCAGTTGTAATCGATGATTCTGAATATAGTAGGTGATCTTGTTCATAAGGGAAAAGAAAGGTGAAATGCAGAAAGCTAAATATTCGTGATTATTGCAAAGCATAGTCTTATAATTACAAGTGAAAGACTTCTATTCTATTGAATGAAACAAAGTTATTCTGCTTATTGATAACTCTTGAGAATATTGACATGTGAAGTTAGAATCGAATCTTAGCTTATTGAACTCAGTATAATCTAAGGAAAAAAAAACAAGCGATTTTCAGAATGTTTGAAGTTATTTCCTCAAGGTTTGACTCAAGGAAAAAAAAATTAAATAATGAATCTGCGAAAGTCTTTGGGGTATTTGAGAACAGCTTCGAGAGAAAAGCATTTTATGTTTTTGAATCTTTCATAATTTTTGCTCTACTCGTTGAGGTTTATTTGAACTGAAAGTATCTTGATTTTGCGAATTATAAGTGTTGAAGTATTTGAAGAGGAAAATAAATTTTCAGTCGGTCTCAAACCATTCTAGATATCTCGATATATTGCCATGTTGATCTTCAAATGGTTTTTCATAGGTATGATGACAATTCTTCAGTGATTTCATCACCTCTTACATTCTCATATCATAGGAATTACGCTGAAAGTTTGTCTAGCAGTCTTATAAGGGAGTAGGATAATATTCAATAGTATCATATTCTAGAACAAATGCTCAAGCTAAAAACAAAATTAACTGTTAACAAAAAAAAAGTTATTTGTATGTATAAATATTTGTTTATATTTATACTTTAGGTTATCAAGAAGCATTAACAATGATGCCATTTGAAGCACAAAATCAAAATGAAGTTATGATGTTTTTTGCACATGTATCACATGAAACGGATGGCTTGAAAACTTATGAAGAATACTGTGGACAATCAGGCGCATGTGCTAATGATTATCAAGGCTCATGGTGTCCTCCAGTTCAAGCAGAACCTGGTAAACAGTACTATGGTCGTGGTTGGTTTCAATTATCATGGCCATGTAATTATAAGGGAGCTGGTGATGGACTTGGTATTGATTTGTTGAAAAATCCGGAACAAGTTGCTCAGTCTGATAAGTTGGCTGCGGCAACTGCACTTTGGTTTTGGAATGCTAATAATATGGGCGCACCAGCACGAGAAGGTAATTTTGGAAGCACAACACAAATAATTAATCGTATTGAATGTGGATCATCATCCAAACAAGACACCAGAGTTGGACATTATCAAAAAGTTCGACAATGTTTTGGTCTTCCTCCAGCAACTGATAATTTAAAATGTTAAAGAAATAAAATTCAACAGACATTTCCAATTTTTATTCTTTTACTTGTTGATCACTTTTTGTATTCATATGTAGGTAGTTAAGGTCTCTAATATTGAAAATAAACTTCAGAAAGGTCTAGGTAATAATATAACTAATAAAATTCACTAAATAATATTGATCTACTTTGTTTTCATTCATGTTTATGAAACACGATCTAAAAAGAGTGTTGATGTATAGAGGTAGAAATTCAGTAAAAGGATGGTGCAGATATGTGTCACAAAATAGATAGAATAAAGCAATCTTTCTATACTTAGTAACAGCAGGTGCATTGCGTGTCATATTTTAATCCTACAGAGCTTGTACCAGCAGCTTTTTTTAATTAATTGAAAGTATTAATCGCTGTTGAAAAGCCAGCAAAATCATCATACATATTTAAACTTTTCGACCAGAGTTTTTAATTATTCATCATTAAAATTCAGTATTTTGCTGTGTGAGAGAGAGAGAGAGCATCACATGACTTTGAGAGTCAAAAGAGTTTTGATGATAAGAGAAATTATCGAAGATTTGAGTTGCTTAGTTGAAAATTCGGAACAAATTAACGAGTTCTATATTACTGAGAATATTAAGTGCAGAATAAACTTTAATGTAAAAAGGAAAATTTTCCTAATATTCCACTATATAAAGCATAAACTTGAGTAGATTGGTATCTAATCGTTTGATTTCCCCCTCAATAAAAGTGAATTTTCATGTTCTACGAAAGTGATGCAACCCATGAAAAAAATTTTGTACAGAACAGTGTTTCAATGCCAAATTTTCGAGAAAAACCGCTATTATTGCATTTAAACGCATTGTTTTTATTTCAACAGATCTTTTGTTTATTTGCAATACATTTGGATGAATCTTTTTTCATTTCCAGCGTGTTTCTTCAATTTAAAGCACCATCTAGAACATCGTTCGAATCCGTTTTATTTGTCATGCATTTAAGCGCGTTTTTATGGCGTTGTTCTACTAAAAAAAAATGATTGTTTTTTACAAACGTGTCAGAACGCTGTCTTTTAAAAGCTATTTTTCGAAAAAACAATGAGTTACTTCTCAAACAAGTTAAACGAACATTTAGATTAGTACTTTGTGTAAAAACATCGTTTCACGAAGTAAGAGTCTGCTATAATTCAGATTGGTGGCTAACCGCGGTAGACCGGACAAAAGTAGCAGTTTATCCTGATTAATTGCAGCAATGGAAGCTAGTAACCGGACCGGTAAAACCGCGGTAAACAGTCGATTTCTGCCGGTTTTCATCACATGGGTTAGGCACAGACGTAAATGATACGATTAAGATATATACAAGTGAATTATCTTTTAAAGATCTTGATAAGATCTTGCTTACAAGATGTTCGACTAGGATATGGTCTATTAATTGTTTTGATGGGTTCAGATAATTAGAAAATAAATAATGTTTTCTGTATTCATTATTTCGATTAAAGAGTTGTTTTTAAAGCTTTTTAATGATATCAAAATAGATCTTCTTTGAAATAAATTGATGGTATTGTTCGATTATCATATTGATACATCATTACAATATTCTATTAATGGACACATTGAAATTTTATCGAAAGAAAAAACTAGTTGCTTTTTTTAATCATTTCATTTATATTTTATTGACATGCTTTATATGGTGCGTAACAATATTTTTCCAGGTGAGCAATGCTTAACATCAATAACAAATTTTATACCAAATTAAAGCGTGTCGAAAACAAGATTCACCAATACTAAACAGGAAGCGTTAGAGCAATTTGTCAGTATCGAATTCAGAAAATTCCTAAAATTTTATGCCATATCAGCGGAGAAAAATTCTTTGCATGATGCAGTTCAAACTGGATCTTATTTAAAATGATGAAAATCAAAAAGTACTGGATACCTGGCCTGAGATTATTGGAACAATAAATAAAAATGAAGCTGAAACGAATGGCTATCAGATACGCAACACAATCAATATGATGACGAAACTCAAAAAAAAAACATATCTCATATGTTTTGACGACAATGGAAACAAACATTGAACTATTTGATGTACGTATTTGTCTCATCTTCTTGCTGTAAAAACACTAATGGTTGCCATACTGATTATTGATTATGTTCATTAAGTCTTAAGAAATAAAATATTATTTTTTGATATTCATCATTTTAAATGAGATTTAGTTTGAATTGTCTCATGAAAGGAATTTTTCTCTGCTGATATGACGTAAAATTTCAGGAATTTTCTGAATTCAACACTGACAAATTGCCTCAACGCTTACTATTTAGTATTGATGAATTTCATTTTCGACACGCTTTAATTTGGTATAAAATTGTTATTAATGTTATTTTAAATCACAGAGTTACCCCATGAAAAAATATTTTTATGCATTCTGGATATAGACGCAAATTATTATTTGCTATCTTAGATCTTACAAGTTGAATATATATACATGCAATGAAATGTGTTTTCGCATTATGCGTGACTGTCGTTGATGTAGATGGATATTACGAAAATGTTTATCAGTTCTGGTTACTGTACATGGAGATGGTTTCAATCTACGTTAGAAAATATCTTAAAATTAAATATATGAATAGTTTTTAATAACTTCTTGAATTCTGATAAGTATTAGTTGATAGCCATACAAAGAATGATTTCTAACAAAATGTATTTAGAATAGATTCAAATCGATTTTTAAAATGATCTTACCATTGATGGATATTAGACTTTTTTTAATGATAATACTGGTGTAAAATATAATATGATAAAATTATTCAAATTGATTTTAAAGGTTATTTTAATCAATCAATAAATGCTCAAGTGTTTATATAATCAACTTGATCGTTGATTTGCAATGTTTTATAAGTCATTATTATACAAAATAGGTATACCAAACGTGTCCTCTCATTTGCGAATATCCCTAGTGAAACATCTTGTAACCAAGATCTTGGCCACGATACAAGGTACAGAAATGTTAACAGATCTTGAAAATTTAGGTACACGTACAAGATTACCATATTATCTTGTATGAAGATCTTAAATTAGATCTTGAGTACAGATATGTAAGATCTTAGATATGGATTCATAAGATCTTTGGTACATATTAAGATAAAACATGTTGCATGCGGCATGATTTGCAACACAAATCTATAATACATTCTGAAAGCATCATTCGAACCTATCAAATACCGCATTTATTTTTTTTTCTGTAAAGCCATGTTATGACATTTTCTCAGTTTATTTTCATTTTAATTATTCCTATTCTAAATAACTGAAGCAAGTCAAATCTTGGAATCTGTCTAACCTTGAGATGGTTCGGTCTCCATCAGAGGGTGCGGGTGTGGGTGTGAGTGTGGGTGGGTATGGGTATGGGTGTGGGTGTGGGTGGGTGTGAATGTTGACCTGCTCTCCACCCACACCCACACTCATGACGATCATCATCGAAGTTATAACTTCGTCACATTTATATGACGAAGTTGTAACTTCGTCAATATGAGATGCCGAAGTTATAACCAGAGACTGAAATGGGGCGGGAACGGAGAGAGAATTTGCGCGGAATAGCGGGTCAAGGCGGCGCGGAAGACGGAGCGACCAAAAAAAATTAGGTCGGAGCGGAGCAAGGCAGAATGAAGTAGATTCCTAGAAAACCTTCTTGTTCTTCAGTTTCACATTCAAAATTCGTATATGCATTAAGGAAGAGTCGATGAAAATCGGGATGGGGCGGGGCGAAGAAAGCTTTTGACGGGGTAGAGCAGGGTCGGGGAAGCAAAAAAAATAAATAGCGGGACGAGGCGGGGTCGGGTAGAGAAAGCTTTCGACGGGGCGGGGCGGGGAGTGAAAAACCCGCCCCGTTTCGGCCTCTGGTTATAACTTCGTCGACCGGTGTAACTTCGACACGACATATATATATATATATGTGTGTGTGCATACGTGTATGACAGAACGAGAGAAAAAGCTAAAGAAAAATTAAAAAAAACTTTTTCTTGCAAGAAATCTTGTTTTAAAAAATTTTGCTTCGGACTACACCACACCTCGCGGTCATATTCTAGGATGATACTCAGTTTTCTGCGCTCTTTCTAACAATACAAATCTTACGTTTTAGACTTTTAGAAAATTTTTTTCGACTGTTTGATATGCTGAATAAAACAATAGACATAATTGATAAAAATAATACTAATTACAGCAGCTTTAAATTTCATACTATATTTATTTATTTATTAGTTCAAAAGTTGACGTTTCGTCGATTCACTCGACATTATCAAGACGATAACGATAACACAACTTATTACACATGCATATATATATATATATATAATTATGATGATTACTCATTATATGACTAAGGCTACTAGTAGTAGCGAGAATAATCTAGTGTAATCGATTACACTAGATTATCCTTCCTCCCGCGTGTGCTACTTATACTTTTTCATCTTAACTTTAGGTTTTTGTCTTCCGAGTCCCTCAGGGTGAATTATGATAGGCACGGACGAAACAGTCTTATTAGGTTCAGGTTGTTTTTTCAAAATGTGTAGTGATTCACGCATACGTAATCGGTACCAATTAAGACCTTTTGTTATTATTTTCCACTCTTCCCAGTTGATTCTGTGTTGACGTTCGATTGCATGTTGATGTAAAGCCGAATTTTTTATATTAATCGATTTATCTTCAATATTACCGTTTTCATTGTTTTCCTCAGTCGTTGATGTAAGCAATCGATAATCAACTATTTTACCTATATTACGGGCTGATCGTCGTAATGCATTCGAAGCTACAGTAGATTGAATTTGTGATGAAGTAGTTAGTGTCGTGACTAAATTTGTATTAAGAGGGGCACCATGTTCTCTCAGTCGCCTAGAGGCTTGACGTATTGTTTTACCTATATAAGCTGCATCGCAATCGAGGCACTTAATATGATATACAATCCTTGAACAAAGGTTCTTGGGGATTGGGTCCTTCAAGGAAAAATAATTTCCAACTGTCATTGTTGGTTTAGGAATTAGTTGGATACAAGAATTTGGGTTGATTTCTTGTCCGATCTTTGCAAGTTGCTTTCCGAAAAGTGATGTAGGTGTTCCAATATACGGAATTTCCACCAATATTTTATTCTTTTTTCCTTGATCTTTAATTAAGGTGACCTTAGAAGAATTTGTTGCAGATTTGTTTTTTACCTCATAGGTTCTGTTCAGTGTTTTTCTGATTTGTGATTCCACGAACTTAAGTGCATAACCATTTTGTAATAATACATCTTTGATGAATTCAAATTCTTCGTGTAATAGGTGGTAGTCAGAACAAATTCTGATGGCGCGATACACCATGTTACTAATCGCGCTAACTTTGTAAAAGTGTGGGACAAATGAGCTCCACTTGGTTAATAGTCTAGTATATGTAGGCTTTCTGTAGATTGTGGTAGAAAAATTCGATTTTTTAATTGTTGTATTGTTATCATTTGTTGTTTCGAGAAAATTTGTATCTCCACCATTATTAGTAATATCAGTCAATGATAACGCTACTAAATCTCCAATTCGTTCACTATCACTTTGTATTACTTCAAGTTCATAAAGCACAAGCATATTTTTTTCAGTTTTATCGATTGAATTAACCATAACACGATCAATGCGTATAATAGAGTTTTCTTTTAAAGAATTCATTTCAATTAATTTATTTATTTTAGTGTCAAGCATACAAGATGAAAATGTGTGCTTGCCGTCCGATAATATAAGATGATAACATTTAGTAAATATTGATGTATCGTCATTTTTTATTTTTTCGATTACTTTAATACCAACAACTTGTAATATAGCTTTTTCAGATGTATTACCACATAAATATCGCACAAGAGCACCTATTGTAAGTTGTTGATTACGTTTTATCATTACGTCTAAGAAGGGAAGGCTCATATTATTTTCTTCTTCAAATGTAAATTTAATACTATGATGAAAGCTATTAAGAATCGATTGGATAGATATGATATCAGAGCCTGGTTTAATCAATACAAAAGTGTCATCTGCGAAGCGCCGCCAATAGATTACTCCAGACTTCCTTAATTCAGGCATCAACATTGTTTCAAGCTCGATTATAAAGATGTCAGCCATTAAGGGTCCCAGAGGAGACCCCATGGCGACACCATTATGTTGGCAATATAATTGACCGTTGAATAAAAAGTTAGTTTCCGATGTGGCTGTTGTTAACAACCACAACATGTTGCTCCTGTCTATATAATTTTTACACCAATCTGCTTTTTTCTTTTTCTTCTTCTTAGTCTCATTATCGGTGAAGTAAGTGTGGGGTGGCCCATATAATTTCAGCAATATCAGATTAATGGTGTATTGTAAGGGGCCCATCGTAAACAAGCTGGTGACGTCAAATGACACCATACGACAGCTCGATGAATCATAGGGTGTTGATTATAATTCATCGATGAATGTGAATGTATCATTAATAATAGTATAGGATTTTCTTAAATGCGAGAGACGATTAACTAACATTTTTGCTATACTATAGTTATAAGTACCGATAGCTGACGAAATGGGTCTGAGTGGAGTACCAGTCTTATGGACTTTAGGAAGTCCATAAATTCGTGCTGGTTGTGAACCAACAGGACGACAACGTTGAAATTCTTCTGGTGTAATAAATCCAGACTATTTAAGGGATATTAATTTTCGATAAAGTCTATCTTCCTGTTGAAGCGTTTCATCCACAGGAATTGGACGGAAAGTATTAATATCATTTAAAATACTCTTCATCTTAGACATATATTCTTCTCGATCCAATATGACCACACCCTTTCCTTTGTCCGGTCTTGTTATATAGATACTTTTGTCTTTCGACAAATTTTGAAGTATCTTTATCATTCGATCTGAATCATATCCCCGTTGATGTTTATTCTTTTTAATATTGGATCGGAATTTCTCACAGGTAAAGCGTAGTTTAGATGCACCTAGGAGTTGATCGGATGTCATTTTATAAACAACTGATTCATCTGTATCTTTAAGTTCATACTCAGGTTTATCAGTAATTTGACCTAATATATTAACGAAGAAGAGTTCCATGTTACTAATAAATGATTCTTCATTAATTTCAGTTGATGGACAAACAAAGTCCAAACCATTAGTTAATGCTTCATTTGCATCATTTGTTAGAATTCTTTTAGCTAGATTCTTAATAGAGCAAATAGATGGTGGAGGTGGGTTATATGTTGTTACAGAGGGATTGTCCCAAAATCGTAAGCTGTCAAGCTTAGTCCTATGAGTTTTACTGACGTTGTTAGTAAGTTCTGTTATAAATTCATCAATCAACTGCTCGACGTGAATCATTAAGGTTAAAGGAAGGTCATAGTTAATCAACAATTTCAGATTATTCATTAAACGAAAATTATAGGATACTTCACGTTTTTTAATTTTAATTTCTTTAAGTAAAATATTACGATAACAATCTCGGATACATTGCTGAAATCGATTATAGGTATCTGGGCTTCGAAATTTAACAAATGTAGGTAATAAGTTCTCTTGTTTACATGTTTTGAGAAATGTTAAATGAAGTTTTAATTTACATATTTTTTATTTTATTTTACCATATAAAAAAACATTATTTGTGATTAATGGCCCATATCGCTGCTTTATTTTTCTGAGATAATTTGTTTTAGTAATGGGCAAAAATTTGTTAACAAAAATAATACGAATTACAGCACCTTTAAATTTCATACTATATTTATTTATTTATTAGTTCAAAAGTCGA